GTACTTTATTTCTTGTTTTTCATGTGTATTCTTTATTTATTATTATAAATGTAACTAAAATGTAAAAATAGGACACTTTTTATGTTAGTTAAGGTTAGATTAGGTGAAATAAATAATAATATAATAAAAAATTTTCATCGGGTACACTCATGAGTAGCTTGTGCATAATGTAATTCAATAGAGTAACGTGACCTGCGTGTTCACCAAGTGATTTACAACTTATAATGGTGAGAATAGTAGTTAGACAGGGTTCAAAGGGTGATAAAACAATAAAATTTAAGCATAATTGGATGTATATTGTTATAACTTTAAAGCTATCTAGGATAAACAAATACAGTTTCATATTACAAGAAATAAAAAGGGTAATTTAGATTTACTTCAATATTTTTTCTGGTGGTTACGAGGTCAGTCAAGTTGATCAACCTTGTAAGACATTAGATCATATAAAATATACAGTTTTACTGAAGAAAAAAAACATTTAAATTTATTTTGAAGCTTTTAAAGATTAAGCATATAAATTTTGAGATTTTGGGGGCGTAGAAAAGTATTTTTAATGTTAATGTGAAAATCACTTTGCTCTCAAACATATATTCAGAAATAGTATATACATTCACGGACAAGTCTTAGATTTTTTTGTGTACAACAGATTTGTAATGTTTACTAAAAGTCTGCTAAATTTTATGAAGCATTAAAAGTGTATTAAAAGTTATAGTACAGAAACTATAATGAGTACAAAATGGTTATGTCAGTCCATTTGACCAACTTTGTAACAATAGAGTTAATAGTTAATAACTCTTACAAAGCAGCCTATTAGACAAACTTAAAACATTATTCTATGTGCAAGCACACTTAATGTTCTGAACACAAATGTTACAGTCACATTCACATAAATTCTAAGTTCAAACTAATTGAATACAATGTATTTCTCACAATCAGTTACATCTAACCCAAAAACTGCAGTTACTTGCCAGGATAACCCTCACACAGTACTTCCACAGGTGTTGTCCTTTTGGTGTCACCAATTTTTTGATAACGCTCTTTAAGTGTTTCTGCCTTCAACCCTTGCCATGGTAAGCTACCTCGTAGAAAATACATAAACATATGGCCTAGTGCTTCCAGATCATCTCGTCTACTTTGTTCTGAATATGAGAAATTAACAAGTCACATGTACTAAAATTCCAACATTCAAACACCTGAATTACAAAATTCACAATTATCACATAGCAATTCAAGTGAAGTGCCTTAATTACATAACAAGTAAAACAACTGTATACAACTGTCTATTTTAAAGGAAAAAAAAACACATAAAAAAGTACTACATAACATTTATGATTTACAAGGCAGAAGCAGCTTTTATGTAAAAAATACTAATTTTAAACAATTCTTTGCCAGTCATACCCTTAAAAATAGCAAAAAAGCATGCAAGTTGTGTTTTATAGTTATGTATTGTTATTTCAAGAATCTACTAAAACTTCAACAAGTTTTGACAAAGATTTATGGTTCAAATTGTTTTCATCAAGAAAAATTTATAAATTAAGATATCAATCAATCAGCTTATTCCAAATAACTACAATAAGAAATAGGAATATTATAACATCTTTACCTCTGCCTAAGTGAGTATTGATACTCATGTATCTAGCTGTTCCAGTTAAGCTCTTGTGCTCTTTGTAAGGTATATGTTTGCTGGTTTCTGGATCTATATATTCTTTTGCTAAACCAAAGTCTATAATCTGTATGATATTTTGTTTTTTTGTTGAATGTCTTCCAATCAGGAAATTCTCTGGCTTCACATCTCTATAGATAAGGTGTTTGGAATGAACATATTCAATTCGATGTAGCTGTGGATGAACATGTAAATCCCACTTAAGTAAACATTTTATGATATAAATCATGTTATCTCAATCAAGCATTCACCTTTACATGCACTATATAGATAAGAAAAAGAAGACATTCCTTCAACATTAAACAAAATAAAGATATAAAGTCTAACCTAGTTGCACTAGTACTAAATTTAAATTCTGTTCTTTTAGTTTAATATACACATTGTTATGCTATTTGTATTTAAAATAGTGATGTGGGGGAATTCGAGCGAGTTGAAAAACTTAGAGAAGAGCATACACAAGCTCTCTCCAAAGGTAAATCTTAAAAGTCTCACTCCTGTTTTATCATCTTCATTTAGATCACTTTAATACTTCATAAAGGAGAAACAACCAACAGATCATCTGAATGATCCAAGTTAATTTCCAATACACTTTACATTTTTACACAAGTAAAATAATATTGTGAGATTTTAACGTGTTGGTCTTTCTTTAACTAGCAAGTGGAAATTATTTTGATAGTTTAAGTAAAATATTAATGTTTGGAAAGATACATTACAATCATGGTTCAAAATCACTAACATTTCACTATATGTTATCAAAATATTTTTTATAACACCAAGTAACCCACTGATCTGTCACAACTTTCATCACCAATATAAACTATCAGGACTCCTTACTTAGCACAAGTACTTTATTTAGTTTCCATCTAAAACTTACAATTTCTGAATACCAGTTTTTCATTTTCATTTTTAATTTAATAAATTACCATACAAAGAATAAAAAGAGCTTGTAAAGAAAACATGAATGGGTTTCTTTATGTGGAAATCATTTTTAATATACTGTATCTGAAATTATGAAAACATGAAATAAAGCTAAAATGTTTATTTTTAAATACTTACAAGCTGAACAGCAACTAGCAAAACAGTTTTAAGACTAAACTTTCTCTCACAGAGATCAAATAAGTCTTCAAGGCTGGGTCCTTGCAACTCCATGACCAGGGCATTGTATTTGCCACATGGTCCAAAGTAGTACACATTTGGTATTCCTTCTGTAACATTACAGAAACATATACAAATATTACTTATTGAGAGAAAACAATAATTAATGTGTGAAAGCCTTAAAATATTCTAGCTCAGAGTATCCCTTTTGGCTTTCTCAGCCATTTTAACAGACTTGGCACCATTTCTTTCTTTTGAACCAATATTTCAACGAAGTAGGCTGTGTCTTTAGTCTGCTCGAAATTTCATATTTTTTTAGACTAAAATACATCTTAGTTACTGACCTTGATAAATTATAGTGGAATTCTATGATTAATAAATTAGTGGAGTAATTTATGATTTTTTAACCAGATTCACAAAACACAATAAAAAATGTCCCATGTTTTCCACCATTGCAAATCAAAAAACCATAGTATATGTATTAAAAAGTAATTTTAAACATAGAACCAAACATAAACAAATGAAAAATCAAGGAATCCATCTTAATTGAACAAAACAAACCTACTCTAAACCAACACCCTAGGATGCCAAGATACCTCTTCTAAGTCGTGCAACAGTATCTGGTCATGTGTGTGTGTGT